TCCTTCTCTTATTGAAGCCTGGAGAATTTAGAATAAAATCACTCAAACACTTTTGTTACACAGCCCAATAGATTTTGTAATTAGAGGTGAGAAGATGGGCTCTGTGCACAAATGGCATTGACATAACTTCTCAAGCTGATTAATGGTCCTATCATCACCACTAGCACCCCCAAAGTAACTTCTCCAAATAATGATGGAGAAAGCATTTTCTAGGAGAAAACAAACAAATATGGAAATGCTTCATCACATTTGAGATTCATTTGACTTAATTCCAGTGTGTTAGTGCCCAACAGATGCAAAAACCAAGAGTCTCTCTAACAATGCCCTCCATTGGGCACTATAGTGTTGGGAGGCAATGTGTATTACCTTGGAAAGAGGACTGTGGGCACAGGACCTAAGTTTGACTCTTGACTCATTTTTTTACTTGCCTTGCTTCTGTTTATTTACTGCTTGTGTGACTGCTGTGACAGTAACTCAAGCTGTTATCCTCAGTTTCCTCACCTGTAAAGTGAGGAGGTCTAGGTGACTAGATGAACCATTAGGTAGCTTCCAACTCCATATCTGTTTTGTTACAACCTTTAAATTTACAAAATGCTTTCCATTCAAAAAGAAGCATGTATTATGTTAGAAGCACAGTGTTAGGCATAGGAATACAAAGACATAACAGATCAAATTTGATCCTCAAAAAACCTATATTCTAAGGGAAAGTTACAACATGTAAATGGATGAGTAAATTCAGTGTGGATACGAATTAATATGAAATTAATTAATGTGAAATAAATAATTTTAAGAAGGAAAAAAGGCAAACTTTTGGGAGTGAGGGTCAGGAAAGATCTCATGTAAGAAGTTACATCTGAGCAATGTTTTGGAGGAATCTAAGGGTTCTATGAGATAAAGATGGGGAGGACCGCCAAGAGATAGAGAGATAAAATGCCAACCGTATGTGTGGGGAATACTTTCTCACATCCATCCTTTGAGGAATGCATGGCAGATAGTACCAGCCAGATTTACAGAGAAGGAAACTTAAGGTCTGAGACATGAAGAGACTCCCTGGTGCCACACATCGCCATCAATTGAACTCTTCTGCCTGAAACCTTACGGATTTGGATATTTTTTTTTTATTTTCCAAGATAAGACTTTTGATGAAATTATTTATGGTATGAACATGTGTAGGTAAAATGTTCTATGAGCGAGCAAAGAAAAAAACAAGTGGCAGGTAATGTGGTTTAGTGCAAAAATCATTAGATTCAGTGTTTTGGGGAGACCTGGGTTCATATTCTGTATCTGACACCAGAAGCTTTATGGCTTTTAGCAATCTACATGCACTCTCCCAGCTTCAATTTATTTTTCTGGACTAAGGAGTTGAACTTAATGATTTCCAAAGACTTTTTACAGCCAACCCTCCTCCAATCCATGGTCTGGATATACACAACCATATTGAAAGAGCAGTGTGCAACCAGGAGCTAGGAAACAGAAGAGCTATGGTTTGAACCCAGGTCTTTGGATGCCAGATTCAGTGATTTGAGTTATAGTGCACTGTCTTCCAGCAGAACCCTAGGAAGCTTTCTCTCTTCTAACACATTCTCTCTCCACACCATAGCTTTTTCAATGAACAACTAGAATGTCTAAGCAGATTGAGCGTGCTAGGAATTGATTCTGAACAGTAGAATTAAGAAAATAGACTCAATAGGAGAAATGTCCAAATTTCCAAATGGAAGACTTAAATCATTGATTCTGTCCCAATTCCACATCCCTATTTAGAAGTATTTTACTCACCTATGTTATTGCCAGTAACGGAGGGAGAAGCCAGATGATAGCATCATTCTTAAAGAAGTATCAGAAAACTCAGAGGCCTTAAGTAACAACAGCACAATCACTAGTTTACTATTTGCATTTTTTTCAGATTTAATCATGTATTTGAGCTATCAGCTATTCTATCATTATCAATAATTTGGGAAAACTAAATATCAAGGAAATGTATCGAGTATAAATAAAAGCAGCTAAGTGGCACAGTTAATAGAGTGTTAGTATTCAAATTTGGAATTTTAAATAATTAATAAAGTAAAAATTATGAAGTAAAAATTGAGTAAAAATTTTGAGAAAACAATGAAATGTGTGTATATGAAATTTGAAAGGTTTTGAGTTCTGCCTTCTATGGCATTTTAAAATATTTAGTTATTGACTTTTCAATTCGTATTTAAATTTCTTAAATATATCAATGTAACAGTTGTCCAATTTACATCGTAGCAGTTAAATAATAATGGAATCAATGCTAATTTAGAAAAGCACTCTTAGCCATACTTTATATGTTTACTTTGATAAATATTAAACCTTTAACCAGAAATACTCATTTTTGAGTCAGATTCTCATAGTGCTTTTTTTTAAGATTCTTTCTTTAGCTTGTTGTTAGCAGTGTTTATGACAGGTAAAGAGTTTACATAAAGATAGAAATAGCCAGGGGTATTTAAAACCTAAATTCTCTTAAGTTTCAAGTAAACTATCAGTTCCTACTTTGGTGTCTTCCTTATAGCTCTGTTATTGATTAGCTCAAAACCACAAGGTTCCTTCTGGTTTTCACCACATGAACTAGTTGTTGGAGAAGTAAACTTTGAGATGTATTAAAATCTTGTATTGAGATCTGTTTTGTAAAAGATTTAAAAGAAATATCTGAGTTTTTACAAGTAACTTGGAACCAGAAAGGAGATCCATTGAAATGGTGCTCCTGAGTACATGATATTTTCAAGACTTCTTCAAGAAAAGATGTGTCAGTGACCATAAGACAGCGTGGGATGTCTGACATCCAAGGTGAAATGTGTTGATTTAATGGACGTTGGGAATGGGTTACTAAATTACAAGGAGACAATGTTTTGTTTTGTTTTTTAATGTCGATGTTCATTGTTGTACTGCTTTGGCATTTTGTTTCTCTGTATCTGTACTCTCAGTTATCTTAGTGCCATATGAATTTCCTCTCTGAATTAGTCCCTGATCTGAGACATTCTTATTATGGAGTTGCTTCCACAAAATCTCCCACAAAGAGTCATTGAATTATTATGTTTATTTTAAAAATGAGGAAACTCAGAGAGATTAACCAACTTCCTCAAAATAACATAGGTAGCAAGGAGCAGAGCTGGGATTTGATCCAAGGACATTTGATTCTAAAATTAAACTACAATATTTTCTGATGAGGATGCTTTCCCTAAGTAGTTGGGGGAAAACAGATGTGGCATCACTGGGGTATTTTAACATAGAAAATAGGTATACAATTTAGATAAACACATAGATACTTAATGTATATACATACATACATATAGTTATGGAGATAACTATAGACAGATAGAGATAGCTATATAGATGTTAGATACATAAATGATTTGCTGTTGTTGTTTACTCATGTCCTTCTCTTTGTGATCCCATCTGAGACTTTCCTGGCAAAGACCCTGGAGTGGTTTGTCATTTCATTCCCCAGCTCATTTTACAGACGAGGAAACTGAGGCAAACAGGGTTAAGTGACTTGCCCAGGGTCACACAGCTAGTAAGTTTCTGAGGCTGGATTTGATCTCAGGTCTTCCTGACTTCAGGCCAAATGCTCTATTCAGTGCGCCACCTAGCCGCTCTACATAAATAATAGATATATACATAAAAGCATTTATTTACACTTAATGAGTGCCAGGCATTTTGATAAGTACATACACATACTAGTGCAGGATGGAATAAGGATAGCCTGAAGGTGCTTGAAGAAATGGAAGCAGTCAGAGTGGGATGAAGAAATGTTCACCTTTCCTAAAATATCCCTGCCAAAATTTGCCTGGATCTTAGATTGTATTCATTTTCCTATATGTCAAATCCTTCCATCTCCTCTTCAACAGAATATAATAAGCTCCTTGAAGACAGGGACAATGTGATTTTTTAATCCTTGCATCTCCATGGTATTGTTTGTTGAAACTAAATGAAATGTGAAAATAATATTAAGAATAAAGAATTTATATTAGCCCCTACCTCCAATTCTCACTTTGACTCTGTAACAACCTTCTTCTACTTGCTGCTCATTCCTAACACAAGCATAGTTTTGTAGGTTTCCCCACTAGGCTATAGGATCAAAGAGACACAACCATTCACCCTGAACCCTTATGAAGTCTCACGGCAGTATTAAAAGTTAATTCCATAGTTCATAATTATAGAAAGGAAGCTTTGGGGTTCATGATGGTGGAGATGAGAAGGAAGAAACCATTCTAACAATGAGAATTCTCTAGAAACAAAATGAGATAACGCTGAAATTGATTTAATAAATGTCACATTATAATCATTCTTTCTTTTGCATACTTATTGAGCAAATGATTCATATTTAAGAGTTCAAGTGTCACTGTAAACAGAATTGCATAAATGGGAAGCAAAATGTTGGAAGCATAAAACCTCTCGCAAGGGTATGGTTAGCAGACTGTGGGAGTTGCATGGAGGTTTAGGCACTAGCAAGATAAGAGCGAAAAAGTACATATAATAGCCAGGGATCCAGAGGTAGAGTCCAATTTTCCACAGAGATGGAGATGATAAGACAGTTGGGCCGTGGAGAGGAGACTACGGGAAATGGCATGGAAACTTTGTTCCTCTGAAGAGAAAAGCAAAAAGTTTATTTCTAAGAGTTAGAGTCAAAAGAGTAACCAATACTATTCCTATCAAATAACATTAATATTAATATAGAGATCTTTTTCAAAGAGACATTAATTTGTGATTATAACACGTAAGTGTACAATTCCATTTTTTTCTCCAAAGAAAACTTCCACTTCTTCCTGTGATAGTTGCTATATACTATATTATCTCAACTCTGATCATTCCATCCTTCAATGAAACAAAATACGGCAGGTCATTGGGTATAATAAAAAACAGTCTACAGAGTAAACATAACTTTACATGACAGTCATACCAAATATTCATGTGGTTATAATATAAAAGCAAAAATAAAGGTTTTTTGTTTGTTTTGTTTGTTTGTTTGTTTTTTAGCCAATTCAGGAAGCTGTCATCTTTAAGAGTTTCCTCAGGGCTTCTTTCACATCTTTGTTCCTCAGACCGTAGATCATGGGGTTCAACATGGGGAAGACCACAGTATAAAATAAGAAGACAATCTTGTCCTGCTCCAGAGAATAGCTGGATTTGGGACGGTAATAAATGTAAAGAATGGAGCCAAAATATAACGTGACAGAGATCAAGTGAGAAGAGCAAGTAGAGAAGGCTTTGAGTTGACCCTGGGTGGAGCGAATCCTCAAGATGGCAGCAATGATGAAAAGATAAGAGGCCAGGATGAACATAATGGGTGTAAGAACATTGGAAGCTAACACAAAATAAAGAAAAATGTGGTAATTGTCTTTCACATCACATGCCAGCTTCACCAGGGGTGGTAGGTCACAGAAGAAGTCATCAATGACATTATCCCCACAGAAAGTCATGGTGAATGTTTCATGTGTAAAGATGCCACAGATAACAAAGGCTCCAAGATACGAAGCTGCTACAAGACCCATACAGACCCTTTGAGTCATGACTTGAGCATAGAGTAGTGGTTTTGAGATGGCCATATAGCGATCATATGCCATGGCAGCCAACAGGTAGCATTCACTATATGCCAGGCCACCTGAGAAGAAGAACTGAGCCACACACCCAGCAAAGGAGATGCTCTTGTCCTCAGAAATACAGGTTACCATCATTTTGGGGGTATAAACAGTGGAATACCAGAGGTCCAGAAAAGACAAGTTTCCAATGAAGAAATACATGGGAGTGTGCAGTGGGGAATCTGTACAGATTAACACTATCAAAGTGATGTTCCCTACCACTGTCACAGAGTACACCATGAGGAAAAGCACAAAGAGCACCAGCTGCATCACAGGATTCCAGGTGAAACCCACCAGTATGAACTCAGTCACAGTGTGATTAAACTTTTCCATGATTTCAGCCTGTCTCATCCATGTATGATGGGAGGAGTACACATTTCAAAAATACAATGACTTATGCCTTGGAAAACAGAATGAGAAATTTAAATTACCTAAGTGGATAACTCAGATCATCAGTTGCAAAATTAACACATTGAAATCTTATTCCCTAATTGCATAATCTTTCATTCAACATGCAGTCATCATTCATTCCCTCACTCATTTATTATTCATGTACCCATTCATTCAACAAGCTTTTATGAAATGCCTACCATATGTAAAAAATCTGATCTCAGTTCTGTGGATACAGAGAACAAAAAATGAAACAGTCTGTAAACTCAAGGAACTTACTTTTAATGGCTGTCTTTCCATTAGGCAGCTGTGGCACATATGGTAAAACCTTAACACCTACAAAAATTCAGCACTTGCAATCATTTAATAAATCGATGAACAAGTGCTATTAAATGTTCACTTTGTGCCAAACATTGAGTTACGCAAAGATTCCAATGGAGCCAAACCATCCCCAACAATTCAGGGGTGGGGAACCTGCGCCCTTGAGGCCGCATGTGGACCTCTAGGTCCTCAAGTGCAGCCCTTTGACTGAATCCAAACTTCACAGAACAAATCCCCTTTTTTGTTCTGTAAAACTTTGACTCAGTCAAAAGGCCCACTCAAGGACCTACAAGCAAGGCTGCAGGGTCCCCCACCCCTGCACCAATATCAAGGAGGTTCAATTCTCTCACAAGGTATGTGAGAATTTCTAAGCATTTAACAATGTGCTATATATTGTGAGATACTATGTGGCACAATGGATAGAGTGCTGTGCCTGAAATCAAAAAGATTTGTCTCCCGGAGTACAGATCTGGCCTCAGATACTTACCATCTGTGTGTCCCTGGAGAAGTCACTTAACCTTGTTTTCCTCAGTTTCCTCATCCATAAAACAAACTGGAGAAGGAAATGGCAAATTACTCCAATATCTTTGCTAAGAAAACATCTCACATTGACCTTCACCCTGTGTGGAAGACGACGCCTGGTCTGACGAAAAGAACTATACAGAATGGGAGGCAGGACATCTGAGTTATATTCAAAGAAACACGATTTAGAACTACAAGGGAACTTCCCATCAACTTCATTTTACAGATGAAGAAACTGAGGCAAACAGGGTGAAGTGACTTGCCTGGAGTCATGCAGCTAGTAAGTGTCTGAAGCCAGATTTGAACTCAGGAAGATGAGTCTTTCTGACTCCAAGTCCAGCACTTTACATGCCTGTTCTATGGCCATTATGAACATTAATTATTTCCTGGTATAATAATATATGCTTCTTACCTCATCAAGGAGCAAAGGACTACTTGGTCATAAAGCAAATGGCCCAAGACAGCAAATATTTGTTCTTTCTTTGGATTTTCATATTTTTGCTCTTGCTCTTTAGTGCCTGACAGCTGGTATTTCTCAGGATTATCAGTGTAAAGTAATTACTGTCACTTGCTAATGCCAATTGCTATTACCTTCTAATTTTCCCCTTTCACTCTACTAAGTGTTGAGGATCGAGAAAACCAAAGATGTTAGAGTTGCATGTAACACATTTAAAATCAGTCTGGAGGGCTTTACTGCCTAGGTTTTGAGTTAGATTAGCTTTTCATGGACCACTCCCATCTACTTATGGGTTTGTGATTATCTTTCAGAGATTCAGAAAATCTGACTGAGGGGAAGGTATGGAAAGAAGGGTGCTGCTACTTTGCATTTCAACTAATGAAAAAATCAAAACTATATATAGTTATAAGAAAAAGTGTTCTAAAGCATTATTGATTAGAAAAATGCAAATTAAAATAACTTTGAGATATCATCTCACACCTGTCAAATTGGCTAAAATGATAGAAGGGAAAAATGACAAATGTTGGAAAGGATATTAAAAAAACTAGGACCTAATACACTGTTGGTGGAACAGTGAATTGATCCAACCATTTTGGAAAGCTAACTGGAATTATGCCAGAAGAGTTGTAAAACTATGTATATCTTATTGACCCAGCAATACCGCTATTAGGTCTGTTTCTCAAGATGATTAGGGAAAAAGGAAAAGAATCTATATGTTCTGAAATATTTATAGCAATTCTCTTTGTGGTGGTAAAGAACTGGAAATTGAGGGGTTCCTCATCAATTGGAGAATGATAGTTTCAATGACTTATCCCAAAAGAAATGCCTCAAATGGTTAGAGTTCAGGCATTGTGACAACTTGAAATAACTGGGCTTAGGGAGAACTTTGACACTCACATCACACCATAAAGGCAGCTGCCTGCTTCATGTAATCAAAGTCCCAGCATCCACTATATGAAAGAGAAAATTCTACTGCTTTAGCAGCCCTGGATCACGCAACTTACCGACAACCTCAGAAGTACTGTCATCTTGATGCAATCCAATTTTGCTCATCTTGGAGCCTTTCTACTTGCTCTGGGCTCCCTGGAGTATCAAAAAGCATCAAACACTCTATTTTCTCATGGTTTGGGAGGTCTCTCCCATAGCAATTAATGCATAAGAGGACATAGGCCACACCAGGGAATTACAGTCTGCAAAGCTGATCAGTTTATGACTTCCCTTCTCTTACTTCAATCAGAGAATTCAGGTGAGTAATAACAATATGATGCTTTCTGCATCATAGGCCAAAAGATTCTGTGATCTTGGGTGGTTGTATGAAATAGGTGTGTGCAATTGGATCTGACAAATCCACTCAAAGTTAATTCTACCGGTAGTAACACAGAAGGAAAATAATTTTCCAAAAGAGAACAGGAAAAAAAAAACAGGACTCAGTTGAGATACGCTTAGTCTATCTCAGATGAACTAATTATGCATCGTATTCATAAACCAAGTCATACTATAGAAATAACCTCAATTTTTATGCTTCTGGAAAACAACACACATTGCCATGGAGCAGGTTTAAACTTTGAGTTTCATCAAATGGGAGAATGTTCTGGGCTTGAAGTGTGACCCTGGATAAGTTATTTCAACTCTTTATGCCTCAGTTTCCTCATATGTATAATAATAATAGCTAACATTTAAGTAGTACCTACTACATACCAAGCACTATTCTAAGCACTTTTACAAATATTAACTCCTTTGCTTCTCACAACAACCCTGAAAGGCAAGTGCTATTATTATCCCCATTTTACAGATGAGGAAACTGAGGCAAATGGATCAAGTGACTTGCCCGGGTCACATAGCTAGTAAGTGTTTAAAGCTACATTTGAACTCAGGACTTCCTGATTCCAGGCTCAGAGCTCTATCCACTGTGCTACCTAGTTGCCCCCCCCCCGCCTCCCCAGAACAGGAATCATAATAATACCTACCATCCAGGGTTGTTGTGAGCAAAGTGTAAAGTGTTTATCAAAGTGCCTGGTTTATAGTAGGTGTGCAATAAATTAGTGTCCCCTCCCTCCTATCTGAAAAAGTGGAACAATAATAGTACATGTTAGTTACATGGTTGTTTTAAGGATCAAATGAAATAACAAATGTAAAGCACTTTCCAAAATTAAAACGCTTTAGAAACTCTTGTTGTTCAGTCATTTTCAGTTGAATCCAACTCTTTGTAACTCCATTTAAAGGTCTTGGCAAGGATGCTGGAGTGGTTTGCCGTTTCCTTCTCCAGTTCATTTTACAGATAAGGAAGGAAGGAAGGGAATGAGGGATGAAGGGAGAGAGGGAGGGAAGAAGAAAAGAGACAGGTATGGAGAGAGATAGATGAAGGGAGGAATGAAGAGGATCTTTTTTTTTAATTACATAGAAAAAAATGAAAAAAAGTTCAAGAATACATAAACCAAAATGGCATTTTCTTTACTACTTTGTTAAATCTACATTTCTTAAAAACAATAAATGCATATATGTGTCTATATATAACAAGTTCATGATTTCATATAAAATCCTCTTTGTTCTTTGTATATTGAAATGTTTCTCTCTGTTGATAACTGAGAAATTTATAATAAAAAAGAAAATTTAAAAGAAAGACTATCAAAGGAGGAGAGAGATTCTAGGTTGGTACAGACACTTGCTATTGCATAGTGAATAGAGAGGTAACTTCAAAGAAGTACTTAGGTGGTGTGGTGGATAGAGCATTAGACTTGGAGTCAATATCCAAGTTTAAATTTCACCTCAGACACTTACTAGCTGTGTGACCCATGGCAAGTCAAGTGACTTCTGACTTCACTTTCTTCATCTATAAAATGGAGATAATAATGATAATACCTACCTCCCAGGGTTATTGTGAGCATCAAATGAGATATTTATAAAGACATTGCACAGTTCCTGGCACATAGTAAATGCTTGTTTTCTTTATCCTTCCTTCCTTCCTTCTTTTCTCAAAGTCTAGAAGATCTGAGATCCAATCTTATTTCTGACATATACTGGCTGTGTGACCTAGGACTAGTCATTTATCCCCTTAAAGAGTTGCTCTAATTAACTCTTTAAGAGAATAAGTTGAATATAAGATGCCAACTCCTCTTGGTAGAGGCAATTTATTTGCTCACAGAATTTCCTAGATCAAGAAACAACAGATCTAGGCTCAGTTCTTCATATTTACAGTTATCAGGATTGGTTATCTATTAGTTTAGGAAACATAATGAGCTGAAGTAGATGCTCCATTTATGCAACTTCATTGCACAATTTTTACCATTTGCCACTACTCAGTAAGTTTGGACTCTTTCAGTATAAGCATTGTATAACTCCTTGTGGAAGCTTTCAGATGAGAATTCATTATTCTAAGCCTTTGGTTTAAATAAATAAATCCACTTGACATTTGTTCTATATCTTTATTTTAACCTACTCTTGGTTGAGTTTGTGTGGGTGCCATTGGTGTTATTCTTGCCATTTTGGGGGGGAAGTTTTGGTGTTACCTTTCTGAAATGAGGACAGAGTAGGGGGTGCTGGTTATTTCTTTCTTTTTCCATAGTCTTGTTTAGCCACTTTCTCATTTTTTTTTTTATTTCTCAGACTCAAGTCTCAGATGGAAAGAATCTACAATCAGGAATAA